AGGTCTCCCTTTGAGGGATCTCAGTTTATCCCGACGGACTCGCTCCCTCCTCGTGTTCACTTACTCTGGACAGCCACAAGAACAGCGGCGAGGAATAACCCGAGGACAGCGGCGTGATGCCTCTGCTTCCCCGGCTCCGAAGCTGGCATCCTTCTTTATTCCAGCCTCCCTGTCAGGAGTTCCCACAGAGGTTACCACATTTTTTTTCTAGGCCAAATATCTGTAAAAATAGCAGGGGGGTATTTACACTCAGGATAACCGTAGCTCATAGGGACAGGTCTCATTTCTCCATCCCTAAGCAGTTCGTGGCTGGGGACCAGAAGCTGCAGGAGCTATTGCAACACTCTGCAAGAGAGCGGAGCAGCTCCTCTGCTGGCTCCTCTCCGGCCGACGGGACCGAGACCCAGCGTGGAGGAGCCGGGCTGCTGGGGCAGAGCTGGATTTGGGGGAGGAAGGCTGGCTCCAGCAGACCAGACCCAGAGACACGAAAATACAAAGTAAACAGGACAATCAACTGTAGATGTTAAGCAATTCCCATAGGCTTTATTCCACTAGTCTCATTTATTTGCATTTTTGAGAATGCAGCTTTTGATTTAAATTTAAAAATAAAATTTAAAAAAGGAAAAAAAGAAAGACTAACAGCACCAATCAAATCATAACATAAATACTTTGTAGCTTGTCAGGTTTGACTTAAAAACACTGTATTGCCAACATAGTGCTCTGCCCGGCCAACCAGCCAAATTAATACCTGCAGGGCCATGAGTTTATATATGCCTTATGGAAAAAGTCCCCTGAAGCTTATCTTACAGGTAAAATGTTTTGTTTTAGTAACAAATCTCTTGGAGGCAAATTCATAGATTAAATCCTGCCAGAGTCAATACAGTCCCCTAACAATAAATTATATGCAGAGAGAGAGAAGTATCTAACCAGAATGAAACAGTGGTTTTGTGCAAATAACGTCAACTGGAGTAGAGCTACAAAGCATACAAGTCATTCAGGAGACCGAACTGCTTTACAAAATGGAATTTGAGTGCAATTTGGACTAACTTAGCACCCGTAGAGATCAGCAAGAGTCCTCTCTGACTTTGTTATCCAGAATCATCATTTATGAGCCTAAACCCTCCCAACGTTCTGTACGCTCCCAGTCCTACCTTCCTCCGGGAAACGAGAGAGCCTGTCTTGATGCTTTCTGCCCTAAATCTAACACTTCTTGTGGCTGTTTCATTCCTCTGGCTTTCCTTCAGTCCTTGTTACAGCTCTTGGTTTAACTTGATCTAATTTACTAATCCTTGTACCTGTAGAGTTGCAAGAAAGCTCCAATCCAGTTCCCAAGAGCAGTATCGCCTAAAGCTGTATGGCTCAAAGTTGTCTTACCTGGAGGTCTGGCAGCAGGAGATGGAGAGACCCGGCACGTTCGGCTCTTGCAAGACAAAGCTAGGACTGTCCTCGCCCAGCCCCCCGGCTCCAGGCACCGCAACGCTGAAGGAGGAGTTACGATACACCTACATGCTCGGATATGGCTCCATGCAGAAAAGTTTGAATTCTGCAGAGAGCAGAGTTGTGCCAGTTGACCCATAAATCATTAACTCCTCCTCTGAGCAAGAAGGAAGTAGATTATTCAACCCACAAAGCGAAACACTAGAAAACTGAATGCAACCCAAGCAGATGTTGAAATTGTTTTTTTTCTGCGTGGAGCTGCCAACTCTTTGCTGAAACGATCTTTGCTGAGCAGGATGCTGCCCGTTCCGCCGTGCAGCAATGGCACCTGGCCAGAGCCAGTCCCCAAGCGATGCCCAGGGACCTCAGGCACACTATGGTGGCCTCCTCGAGAGGACTGCTTCACCCTGGGGCATGTCAACCGTGAGCTCACCAATTCTGACCTCAAAAGCATTCAAAATATGACTTCTGCAACCAGCTCCACCTAGTGTCATCAAAGCAACGCCAGCTGGAGCTCAGCAGCACACGAGGTCCCAGGGAGCATCGCTCAGTGCTGAGCGCCCAGGTCCACGACGGCAAACCCAGCTGCCCTTCGTCTCATTGAAAGCTGTTCCCGAATGCGGCTGTCACTGGTGGGTCATTTTCCAGTAACAAGAGTTTTGGCAGAAGTTGTAACCATTTGCTCCTTTTGCACTTTGGCTGCACGGCTTCATCCAGACTTGAATCACCATCCAGAACCTGGCAATGGCCTTTTTACCCTGGGTTGTGCTTCTCACAGGTATTGGGTTGTTCTGCCAAATCTGAGGGGGTTTTTTGCCAGGAACATTTACCACATCCCTACATTGAGTGGCATACATTACCTTTCTGAAGTTCACCTGAGTCCATGCCAAAATGCAACAAAACAGATTTAGTTCTTGCTCTGTAAAACACGGCAAAAGGCTGCCTGCCCTCGCCCCACAAGCAGGGGCTTGCTCACAACAGCCCCTCGCACCCCCGAGCGGGCACTGACCTCCACTAAATATTTACAAGAATCCAGTTAATCGCAAACATAAACATAGGCTTTCTAGATTTATTTTTTTCCAGATGATTCAGAACAAGCCGATTTGTGTGCTGAAAAATCAGCAGCTTCCCCACGGGCACCAGGAGGTTATTGAGCATCAGCCGGGGCACAGCCACACCGAAAGCCATCTCCTGCCCCGACGGCTGCTGAACACCCCTTAGACCTCCTCAACCCGCACCCTGCAGCAAGATAAACAGGATAAAAGGGGTTTTCCTTGACCATATCCAAGGTTGCTTCTCTTCAGGCTGCGGTTGGTGAGTCCCTTTGGGAGCAGCTGGTTTCCAGCTGGAGATGCTGGAAATCAAGAGGAGCAACTGGTGTGACTCTCAGC